AGCTAATTTTACAAACGAAGCCATGGAATTCCTCGTTCATATTCTCCTGTTTGTTCTGTTGTGTAAAGTGGACCATATCACAAGTACCAACACACGCGATGATCGTAACCCAGGATTGTTGTTTGATAACCATCCCGGTTACCTTCTGTCTTTACCCGCCAACATGACCAAAGTCAAACAGATGACTACCAAAGTCTCCAGCAAGATGGATTGTGTGTTCGCTTGTGTTGAAACAACCTGGTGTCGTTCGGTCAATTTTAAGATCACAGCTGAGATGGACGGTCGTCACATCTGTGAGCTGATAGCTACTGATAACTATACCAACACAAAGTATTTGAAACAGGACGAGAAATTTACTCATTTGAACATCAAGGTAAGATATGCTTGTCCAAAATATTGTGCAGTACAGAAAGATTTCTATTTCTATTCATAGCTAGTTTGCTGCAGCAATAACTGTTTCTCTCGTTGATAATTTTGATACCTCCACTAGTACCATTAATCTTTCCTTTAATCTTCGTAATACTATAATCTTTCTAGTAGAGTATATACCATATATCCGTGAAAAACTTTGAAAGAAATTGCACAAAGTCTTGCACAAATTAGTAAGTTCAGTAGACCTCAGTAGACCTACAAAACTTTGCACGAATTCGTATATGAATTCTGATAATCCTTAATCAGCAATGTTGATTTTTTTCTGGGACATTCATATCGTGCAATCTAGAAAGGCTTGTAGATAGTTTGCCTCTGCAGCAATAGTCGTTTCTGGTTGATAATCCTGATAATGCCACTACTACCATCATCTTTCCTTTAATCCAAAGTGCGAATGTCTGTAAAAATTTCATTTTTGCCCATTATAAGTTTTCAATGTTGTTTTCCCCACATGTTTTTAACGTTTTAAAATGACAAAATAATGCTCTCAATAATAGGCCAAATGCGGGGAATACTTCGTTTGTCAATGACGAGTCCATCAAATATGCCTAATTTTTGCCTCTTCACATAGTCGGCCGAACGCCTAATGAGCAGAAAATCGACTTCTTGCGATGTTGAAAAAAAAGCTGTTGAACATTTCAATGTTATTTGAAAATAGTTCACCAAACTAAGGGATATTGGGGAAATAGAATGAGAAAATTTTTTTCGACTTTCACCTTCCAATACTCGATTTCTACTGACAGTCGTTCTACGTCAGTAATAAATGTTCATCTTTTCTGGGATGTGAACTGGAGTTCAAATATTTTTTATTTTACATAAGTTATAAGAAAAGCGTGAGAGGAATTTTCCATTGAGAACCACAACATTAGACATTAGAACGCACGCAGATAGATACTTTAGTAGTCATGATTGTTTAAGATCAATATTTAATCATTTGTCTTGAGAATACTTCATAATGTGTTTATCTTAATTTCTGAATAGAATCCGTGTGAAGACGAGCCATGTCTTAACCAAGGAATGTGTATACCTTAGATAAACGGGATGGACTATCGCTGCAAATGTAAGGAAGGATACACTGGAAGCAACTGCCAAAATGGTGAGCCTAAGATAAGAAAATATTTTAGCATTTCACCCCTTATATCTTACTTTTTAACTTTTTTATTTGTTTCAAAGACGAACTTTATTCTTGAATATAATCAGAACTTTTTTTGTCGCTATTGTCATGGGACGACTGCTCTCGGTACGAGCTCCGGGATCTTTTTTCTACTTTCTGTTCTCTCTGTGTTCTCCGTGTGTTGAACTAATAGGCGACTTGCACTAAGAAATCACGTGACTTCTTGGATGGCAAACGCGCGCTATGTAAACAAACATCAAGATGGCCGCCGTCGCACCGGAAGGCGACAAAAACAGGTTAGTACAACCACTTAGACGTAACTTTTTAGCTTTTTTCTACCAAATATTGGTA